GGAGCAGCAGCACTGTGTGAGTCCTTCTCTGTGCTCCTGCTTGGGACAGGTGGGGTTTGTGGAGCTTGTAGTCATTCCACCTACACATTGTGTAATGATTTAGAACATAGCACTGGTTGGACAAAGTGAGAACTTGTTGGGCTCCATGATGACTGCTGGAGGTGTCTGAGTGAGGACGGTGACTAACCTCTGGATCTGAGATCCTTCCCTCACTCCAATCTGTGTTGATGGCTCAATAGTGTCTTTGGGAAATGAGAAAAGTAGGACCCTCCTCCATTTTTGCTCTCTTTTCCACCCTCATGTTCTCAGATTGGACAAGGCCAATGGACACCAAGATGGCTCCATGCTCAGGTGTGATGAGACCATGGCGGGCGGGCGCTGCAGAGATATGACAATTGCGGTCAGTGTTTCCCTCTTGTAGGGGGTGGTATTCTGAGAGCTTCTCCCCATTCGGATTGTGATTTACTCAGTGAATGAATGAGAGTGTAGCCCCTTGGTTGAAAAATGAGGACCCATAGTGAGTCGATGATGACTGCTGGAGGTGTAAGAGTGAGGACAGTGACTTGCCTGTGGATCTGAATTCCTTCCCTGAGTGCAATGCACGAGGATTGCAGAACAGTCTCAGGGTGAGGGTTTCCAAGGGTGGGGGTGTATACCATTAGGTGCCTTCTTCTCTGCCCTCTCTTCCTCAGATTGGACCTGGGCTGTGGACAGGAGGATGGCTTCTTTGTCTCGTGCCCTTAGGACCCTCCTGAGAGGAGCTGCCCATGAGTGTGAGTCCTGGTGAATGATCCTGTGTGGCAATGATTGGCTAGCTTGGGGACTGTACCAGTCAAGTATGAATTAATGAATCTGAGAGTTGCCATTGTGGGAAAGTGGAGGAAATCTGTTGGATCGATGATGACATGTGGATCTGTATGAGAGAGGACTGTGAATACCTGCGGCATCTGAGATTCTTCAGTATCTCCCACCAAGGGCGATTGACCGAGCGTCTCAGTGTGCCAGAGGCAAAGTTGGGCAAGTGTTTATTTGTGGTGTTCTCCTGTGCCCTGTGTTTCTCAGCATGGATGCATCCTGTGTACAGGAGGATGGATCCATATTCTACTGACCGTAGGACTGCACTTAGGTGGAGCAGCATTCCTGTGTGAGTCCTTCTTTGTGTTCCTTATTGGGACAGGGCGGGATCTGTAGAACTTGGAGTTTCTCTATCAAGCATTGCTTAATGAATCAGAAAGTAGCAGTGTTTAGACAAAGTGAGAACTTGTAGGGCTCCATGATGACTGCTGGAGGTGTCTGAGTGAGGACGGTGACTAACCTCTGGATCTGAGGTCCTTTGCTCACTGCATTCAGTGTTGATGGCAGAAAAGTGTCTTTGTGAGAGGACAGTAGTGGGGCCCACTTTCATTTTTGCCCTGTTCTTTGCCCTCATGTTCTCAGATTGGAGGAGACCGATGGACACCACGATGGCTCTATGTTGAAGTGTGATGAGCCCATGGTGGGCGGGGGCTACAGAGAAGTGTGAGTCTCAGGCATCTGTCCCCTCTTGGTGGGGGTGGCATTCTGGGGGCTTCTCCTCATTCCAGTTGTGATTTACTCAGTCAATGAATGGG